TCAGCCGCTGTTGAAACTGATCAGTTTCAGCAGCAGCTGAATCTGGACGCCAGTTCCGACTTACATACAGATTCAACTTAAGAACAAACCTACAGTCCCTATCTTGTACATAACCCGGGGACTGCCTGTATGAACACGTCTTAGACGCTGCTGAGCGCTTACTGTCATGAAGAAAAGTTTGACGTTACCTAAAAGCTATATCAGCCGCTGTTGAAACTGATCAGTTTCAGCAGCAGCTGAATCTGGACGCCAGTTCCGACTTACATACAGATTCAACTTAAGAACAAACCTACAGTCCCTATCTTGTACATAACCCGGGGACTGCCTGTATGAACACGTCTTAGACGCTGCTGAGCGCTTACTGTCATGAAGAAAAGTTTGACGTTACCTAAAAGCTATACTACTAGCCTATATATAGTCTTAACTGAAAAACTTGGAAGACGAAGACAGAATATTTTGAAATGTTATTTTTCACTTATGATATTACAGTATGATCCCAGAAGCTAATTTCTATAAAACCTGTATTGCTGTACACATTTTAGCGTAACAAAATCATTTTACCAATCACTGTTTCCACTTATATTTTTCATTCACCTCTCTTAGGCACACTCATTGCAGGACTATTTTGAACTCCTTTATATTTAAAAATATTGCCGTCCACGTTTACAAACAAAGCATCTCCCATCCGCCCTCCCCCCTCCCCTCCCCACACAGAAATTCCTGTGTATGGGCCTGGAGACTCACTGAGCGTTGAAATCTCTTGGCGGTTCAATCACAGGCTTAAATCATGACTGTGCCTTTAAGGGGAAGTTTCTGAACTAGAGCAGAGGCCAGCCCACTGGAAGGAGGGGCAGGTGCCCTTTTTAGAGGGCTGCCCAGCTTCCAGGGGCTAGGGCCTTCCTGGGGGAGACACCGTGCAGCGATGTGGCTGTACTGGATCCTGCTTGTCCTCCTCCTACTGGCCGTGCTCAGGAGGCATCTCACCTTTCTCTGCTGACTCCAGGAGGCCACCAGCCCCCCTGGTGACGGACAAGGATGTTCGGAAGAAGGTTCTCAAACAAGGTACCAGAAGGTGCTTGTGCTGGCTGCACCTGGCTGCAGCCTCGGCAGGGGCGGGGAGAGGGGGCGTGCAGAGTAGGGGGAGCAGCAGCCCCTTACCGCTGGATTTTAACAGGGTTCACACTAGAACTGGATACATTCGTGGCGGTTACGTCCATCAATGGCCATTAGCCCGGCTGGGCAGGGTGGGTGTCCCTAGCCTCTGTCTGTCAAGGGCTGGGAACAGGCGACCGGGGAGAGATCCCTGTTCTGTTCACTCCCTCTGGGGCACCTGGCATTGGCCACTGTCGGCAGCGTGGACACCGGGCTGGATGGACCTTTGGTTTGACCCAGCCACTTTCCAGCACTAAAGCCCCCTGCCTGAATGTCCATCTTCCCTCCTCGCCCTCCCCCACCCTCACCGCCAGGCACATCTAGATTGGAACCTTGGACACACACACGCACACACACAGAGACACACACACACATTCACCTCTCCGTCAGTTACAGAACCACTTCATCCCTGGGTTAGGTAATGTGCCTGAATTCCAGGCTGCAATCCACAAGGAAGTGCATTCCCTCCCTTTTCTCTCCTCCCAAAAGCTGTGACTCCGAGATAACCCTCTCTGATCCCATGCACTGGTTTGTATAACAGAGCCTCTCTGCCCAGGGGTGATGCCCACACCCTGTTAGGTAATGCCAAATTACTGGACTGGAAGAAACACCCGATGACATGCAGCTTAATCATTCATTCACCTTCCACGCCTGTTCCAAAGTCTGGCGAGAAGTGTTCTGATCCGACAGAGGGGGCTAAACTCCCCCTGTTCCTTGGTTCTTCCTACCTACTTCTGCCTCTGCCTCTGGGGCAGATTCTGTTCTTAGGGGCATGTTGCAACTCTGGGGTAGGGGACGCCCCACAGTTATGAATGGATTTTTGCCAAAACACTAATAGTATCTAGTCTCAGCTCTGCAAATTGCACTTTGCTCTCTACATCGTGGGAAAGGAAGAGCTCCTTCCACAAGCTTGTTCGCTTTTTCAGCAGGCTTGCCAAGCGTCATGTGTGACATCTGGCACTTTATAGACTAACCGATTTATTGGCGCATAAGATTTCACGGCAAAGACCAGTGTTGTCTTCAGGTCATCATTGTCAAGTCCAAGTCGAGCCTCAAGTCACTACAGTTCAAGTCTCAAGTCGAGTCCCTAAAGTCACTTTCGAATCAAGTCCCAAGTCGAGTCTCAAGTCTTAATTTTAAAAATGTCAAGTCACTTTTGTACAAGCCATCGATATTCGATTTAACAAAATGAGCAAGTCTCAAGTCGAGTCTCAAGTCACAGACAATGAACCCGAGTCGAGTCTCTAGTCGAGTCACCTAGGCGACTTAAGTCGGACTCGAGTTCAAGTCGTGGGACTCGAGTCAACAACTCTGGCAAAGACCCACTTTGTCAGATGCATCTGACAAAGTGGGTCTTTGCCCACGAAAGCTTATACTCCAATAAATCTGTTAGTCCGGTAAAAAAAACCAGAAAATACCGGACATGTAAAATGTCCCATATTTCCTGTTTCCCTCGGATGGGAAGCCTGGCGGGGACTATTTTCCCCTGCCGCATCTAGCGAGGGTGGGTGAGTGAGGAGCATGGGGCCATTTAAAGGCGCAGTGCTTTTTTTTTTTCCTCTCAACAACTTTGGTATTCCCCCCCCCCCTTTTTTTTTCAAAGGGTTTTTTTTCCCCGGGGGTTTTTTTTTGGGGGGGTTCGGTATTTTTGGTTAAACCATCTGGCAACCCTACCACTAGTTGTCGAGCAATAGCTATCAGTGGAGCATTTTACAGATAAGATAACTGAGAGGTCACATCAGACAGCGCTACAATAGAACCCCCATCACTAATAGAACAGATTCCAGTCTCCCCCACTTTGCCCTGCTGCCTTTCAGAAGGAATGTGCTTGGATGTGTGTTATCCAGTCACTAGAACACACTGTTCCCAGAGCCAGGCATCCTGATAGGCCACTTTCCACTGCTGTCAAACTGTATCCAGTCTCTCTCAGCAGGCTGCTCCATGTGGAAGATAACAACCTGCTTCCACCACTGGTTATTTGTGTAGGTGAAAGGTACGAAGACCAAGGAACTGGAGAAATAGTTCTACTGTGGCACAAGGGTTGTAGGAGTAGAGAGACCTTAGGCGGTATCTAGTCCAACTCCCTGCTTGAAGCAGGACCAACCCCAACTAAATCATCCCAGCCAGGGCTTTGTGAAATACAGTCGGACAGTCCTGCAGTCTGGGGCACCGACTGCCTGACTGGAGAGGTATTTAGATGATCAGCCCTTTGGCAAGAACTCTCCAGACAGCACAGTGAGGACCTGATGGGCCTTGGGTGCTATTGAAATATAAATAATTGTTAATGTCCTGTAGGGAACAATCTCGCGCTGCTCCCTGGAGGATGCTCTCCATGCTCTTCTAGCTCTGAGTCCGTCTGTGAAACTGACCGGTGAGGCAGGAGGAATCTTGATCCTGGCACCTAGTTGTGAAAGGCTGGTGTCACCCCTGGCTTTTTCCAGGGGCAATTTGGAGTGACTTTAGTGGGTGATGAAACAGAGCTCCTTCGGGCTCCCCTCCAGAGAGCGGTGCCACTAGCCCCGCTGGCTCTCAGCAGCGACCCTGGGGCTCGCTGTCAGGACACACACATCCCTGCCCGGTGCACTTCCGTCACCGCTCAGGTCCCCTTCCTGAGCCACAGAGGGAGGGTCACAGTGGGATGGACCTAACAATGCGCTGGGACTCGGTGTGCCTGTGCGCGTGTGTTTCTCTGGACGCCACGGGCCCTTCTGCTCTAGGGTTCTAACTCGGTCGTGCCCCCCCTTTTATAACGAGACTTCATCTTGCCAGTGGAGCCAGGACCACGGCAAAACCATCCCGCAGTCGTGCTCGTCACACAGTGAATTTGTACTGCAGCTTTCAGGCCAAGAGTCTGGCGCCCTGGTTACAAAGACGCCCTCTCCCAAAACAGGCAAGCGGCAGGACCGGCACAGCTGAGACTGGGCCTCCATCCTGAGACGCCACTTCCTTACGGCACGCCATGCCCTTCCCAGTGCCAGCCGGGCCTGCCTGTGTGCCTCAGCTAGGGCATGATGATGGGCCGGCAGCCATCACACAAGTCTGTTAGAACATAAATGCCCCTTCCCAATTCCCTGGTGTTTCTCCTGTGAACAGAGAAGAGCAGTGTCCCGAGATGCCAACCGTTGGAGTGATCCTTTTGCCTTCTCTCTCTATTCCCAACTTACTTCCTCTTTGCCCCCAATTGAGATAGTAATAGTCTCTCTTACACCGTACGTCATTTTACTAAAATCTAACCCATCGATCCGCACAGGATTATCTAACCGACCCTGTCCCACCATTCTAATTGGTTTGCACCCAGCCAGATTAAATATACACCAGACAGAAACAATCGACGAACCAAACCAAGACCATAACAATCAACGACAGAGAAGTGGGGAGCACACATGCGAAACTGTGGATTTGCCTTTATCCTTAAAATGAGGATTCACAGCTCCGGCTGTTGAGAAGTGGGTGCGTGCCAGACAGAAGCTGTCAGCCTACGTTTTCTTTAGACATTCTGGGATCTTCCCTGTATCTGGAGGTGGCCAATGGGGTCAGCTTTCTAACCGCCCCAAAGTGCCTTATTGCAGTGTGACTGTGTGAGAACGTGACTGCACGTTTGCCAGCTTAAGCAGCAGGTGCAGCTGTAACCAAAGGCTGAAGATCGAGGCCTCAAACAAGCGGTGGGCACCCTGCCGCCTGTAGGTCGCATGCAGCCCATTGTTGCCAGATTCCGCTGGTTTCCATTTGTGCAGGTTTTTCCTACCAGTGTTACTACAGTGACACGCACGTAAAGCCAGGGCCCGGGAAGGGAGGGGCGTGCGGATCGCAGCCAACGCTGACCGTGAGAGCCGCACGCTCCCTCTGCAGCCAATCACAGCGCTGCTACGGTGCAACCGGCACCGCCCGCACATTCTAGGTACGCAAGTGTCGTGAGCAAAACTGCCCGGTCCTGGCAGCCTGTCTCGGTTACGACAATCTTGTGGGCCCCTGAGATGAAGGAGGGCCCTCATGCGGCCCACTCGCTAGCCTAGATTGCCCAGCGCTGCCTCAGACTGTCCGTGAGAGGCGGCCACACGCAGGCAGACGGTGATTTTGATTCTTTGTCCGTATACCCCTGTGTGAAGCTAAGCGGTAAGAATCCACCTCCGCTCTTTGCAGGCAGGCCTGGAGAGCTACATTCCAACCGCAAACAATGGGGCGGATCCTGAGCCAGAGAAGACGGCAGGAGAAGGAGTCGTCGGAGGTGGCCACGTGCTGACAACCGTCTCCTTCTTTTCCAGTTTTCTCCACTGCCAAGGTCCCCGAGAATCTGGACGCTGTGGTGATCGGAAGCGGCATCGGGGGTCTGGCCACGGCCGTGCTCCTCTCCAAGGCTGGGAAGCGAGTGCTGGTGCTGGAGCAGCACGGGAAGGCGGGGGGCTGCTGCCACACGTTCAGCGAGAAGGGCTTTGAGTTCGACGTGGGTGAGTGTCACGGGATTTGGGGGGGTCCCCAGACCCTGCACCCCCATCCAGTCACATGGTGTTATTTGCTGTCCCCTGGGCCTCAGGACGTGAGAGACTGCATATACTTCCCCAGTGAGTCACGCCCAGCCTCCCATCCTCACGCAGCTAGTGCTGCAGTGCCCAGGGAAACTGAGGCACGCACGCTCTCTCTCTCTCTCGCTCTTTGTTAAAATTAGGGTCCGCATAACCACTAATTTTAATTAGTGCACTACAAATCTTACCAGTTGTATGCTTGTTTAAGCTTTATGCCACAAAGCCTGCAGCGAAACCTCCCCAGGAACAGGGCCGGTGTGTAACCTGCGGCAGGGGATGGCGGGCGAGGTGGCTGGGCCCGCCACAAACGGGGGCTGCCAGAGCAGGCCCCGGCGTGGGGTAGACAGGGAGCTGCTCCAGCCCCTGCCGGTGAACCAGAACCAGTAGGTGAGGCTTACTGGTGAACCTTTTCCATCCCTGATCACAATCCTCTAAAGCCTGAGGAGGCTGGGACCGGAGAAACCGAGCAGAGTGCGTAGGCACAAGGGCACAGAGACCCGCTTGGGCCAGGTCACTCGCAGAGGTTATTAGCCCCAGGAGACCAGAGGAGCCCTGCCGCTGGCGTCCCTGCCTGGCCGTGTCTTGCTCTGGGCTCTACACTTCAACTCCTGTTCAAGCGGCCGTGTGCGCCTTGGGCCGTCCGTCCAGCAGTGAGTCCTGTGCCTGCCGTTCCCTGGCTCCCTCCTCGCGCCGAACAAAACCTGCCCTGCCAATATGTAGGCTTGCGATTCTCACCTCCACCTCCCTGGCCCCGGGGCGCTGGCTGAGGCGTGAGCGTGGGGAATAAGGCACCCTGTGTTCTCCTTGCCACACAAGGGGGTCGGCTGAGGCCAATGCGTCACAGCTGCCGCAGAAACACTCCGGGCATCCTGGTTGTTTTTTCTCAAGCAACCTGCTGGTACTGGGAGGAGGCAGAAACACGCTGCCCGGAGATACTGGAAGTGTTTGCTTTGGGGCTAACGTTTCGTTAGTCAGAGGCAGGAGGGAGGGGCTGGGGCAACCCCCGTCCATGCCCCAGGTGCAGAGCACGGGGCAAACTCTCCCCAGAAGCTTCTCTGTGGCAGGGGAGAGTGAAGTGCTCTGGGGCTGGGAGAAACCTAGGAAATTGGGCCAGGAGAGGCCGGCGAGGCAGAGCGGAGCAGGCTGCTGGGCCACTCTGGGTCCTGGTGCCACGGTTAAGGAGGCCGCCGCCGGGCCCCCCCAGCGTAGGACGTGGGAGGGCCC